GCTAATAATAGCAGAAGCTCCGTTGTACAACCATATGAGACCCAGAGGCAGAGTCGTGGTCCCAGCTTCTTTTTCTCTCTGCGCTCACTCTGCATGCTGTTACCAGAGCAGGGAGCAGCAGCGGTCAAAATATCTCAAAAACTCGAACATATAGGCTTTAACAAGGCTTTAATAAGCTAAACTATAAAGGTACATGAGAAAACGTGTTCATAACGGACGAAAATAAATAAACAATTAAATTGTGTCCATGCCGGTTCAACACTCTACCCATTGCCCTATTGGAGGCTTGTTGTGAAATGAGCTGCACATTGCACAACAACACGGTGACGGCTTTTTATACTGAGGAGGTGGAGTTTCACCCGGGGGTTGCTAGGTAAGGGGCTGAACGCAGGTTCCGGTGGGTTGTCGTACGGCTTGTGACATCACAAAATGACGGAAGCTTAAAACTTGTCGTTAATATACATTAAAAATACATTTACTTACAGTAAATATGCCCCTGGGTGCATTTTTTTGGTCCTAGGACTGTTTTTTAAGAAGTACATACCCAAAGTTGAGTAAAAATAACCTTTAAAAAGTAAATTTTGCATAATAGGTCCCCTTTAGTCTAAATAAAAGCCTCAGAGCTGAATACACTCTGTCAGCAAACAGATTTCTCACCTTCTCACTCTCCTGTTGAGCCACTTCCCTCTCCTCGTGGATTTTCTTCTGTTTGTCGATGTTTACGTCCGGGTTCCCCTGAGCGTGAGTGTCTCGCTCCCTGGCTGCGTGCTCCTTCCGGCTCACCTTGTGGTACGCTCGCCTAGCTTTGTCCAGCTGTGAACCCAGGCAGATGCATCAACGCAGAAATAAACGAGCTGAAAAACGGAATATTTTCGAGCTTCACCTTCTTGAGTTTTTTGGCCCACGGCTTCTGGGCGCGTGTGAACCCCGTCTCAATGTCCTGCGACTCCTTGAAGCCTCCAAACACCTTCTTGTGGAAGGAGTCCTTCTGCCAGGTCCTGACCCGGTCCGCGTCCTCCGACACCAGGGAGCGACAGATGGAGGCGTGTAAGGAGGCCAGCCGGTCGGCCGAGGACAGGAAACACTGCCAGGCTTTGAGGAGAGACCCGTACAGAGGACCTGGTGGAACCAGAGAGGATCAGTTTTACGTTGGACAACCGAGCGTCAGGGGTTGTTCAGCAGGAACTGGACTCACTGGAGTCCACCACTGGTTTCCACTTGTTGCTCCACTCGCTGAGCTGCTGGGCGTACTGCCTCTCCACGCGGGCCCTCTCCTGGAAACACATCACGATGTCGTTACACGCCTGGAACGTGTCCTCGGTGCGCTTCACTGTGCGCTGGAAGTTCCCAGGCTGTGGGGACACAAAGACAGGAAGGTGAGGAAACAGAGGACAGTCCTTCAGGGACAGAAACGTCCACCATCAGGACAGAGAAACTCCTCACCTGCCTGCAGTGGTGGACAAAGTCCTCAAGTCTAGTACTTGAGTAAAAGTATTGATACTCATGGTCAAATCTACTCAACTACAAGCAAAAGTTACTCTGTCAAGAATAGAATAGAATAGAATAGAATAGAATAGAATAGAATAGAATAGAATAGAATAGAATA